CGGTGGAAACAATGAGTGACGTATACGCGCGAGAGATCACTTCCGGCGCTTGCGTAAACTACGCCAGAGAGCGTACACACCTCGCGCACCGGATGCTGTGCGCGTGCCCAAAGACAGTTGGACATAGTGGTGTATTATAGGTAAAAAATGATATAAATACTGTTTGGTTTCTTGCACAAACCGATCGTTTCGTGTCTTAGGACATCAATGTGTCATCACGAACCGCAGGGTTTAATTTGGATTTGTCTGTGCATGTTTTTTTTACTCTCATAGATTTTGTTACCATTGCCATGCATTATACGACTGATAGACTGCAACGGCTGGAGTTAAAAATCATCATATGTGTTCTACTGAAGAAGCAAAGTCACCTACATCTTGGATGCCCTGGGGGTAAGCAGATAAACATCAAAGTTTCATTTTTGGGTGAACTATCCCTTTAAGGTAAATTTGGTCAATAGGGTTTTGATTTACTGTTGTATTTTAACAGTAGTACTGTATTTCTTAAAAGTGACTTTTCATTTGTAACACAGCTGCACCTGCAGTCTAACAGTGTATAGGATCACATGGAACCTACTTTTTTGTTTGCGTTTGCAGTTTTGCTGGTGGGACATGGGACTGGGAGTACTTGGGTTTCGCTTCTCCTGAGGTAACTCGTTTGTTTGTTTTGTTTTGAGACTTTGGGAATAGCTTGTGTCTTTGTTAAATCTACTTAGCTGGTGCCTGAAGTTTTGGCAGTGCATATCGGCCTATAGAACAAGATGTAGTCCTGTTGCAGCAGTTGTGAATGTGTAAAGACCTGTAATGTTAAACAGTGTACCGCTATTTTGTTCTGATCTAAAGATCCAGAGGAATCATGCCTTTCTCGGGGGAATTGATCCGAGAGAGCACTGTCAGTATACAGGAAGCCATCCGCAGGTATTAAAGAATCCTCATTAGATCCCATCTCAGGAACGGCTAAACAAACAGTGGAATGGCGCCTATCATGTACACTCCATCACTAATGTCATTGTCCACATTTTTTTGGTCGCATGTTTTATTTTTTCTGTTCATACTCTATTGCAGCTGTTCATATATTCCAAACGATTGCTGTGCATTCCAGATTACGAATTCTGATGCCGTTCATCTGGAAAGCGAGATCTTTTTCTTTTCTGTTAATGTATCCCGACATGGTCTTCTAAAAGATGCCTTTGGTGTTGTAACTTCAAAAGGAAGTTTCCTGCTTTGACTGTTCCATGAAAGGTCATGAAATATGCGTTTTTGCAGACGTTCCAAGGTGAACTAGTCTACCACTTCAGTTTGTATTGCTAGTCGCTGCTCTTCTTTTGAAATTATGTATGCAGGGTATGGCACAGTTTCATTTTGCTCTGGATTTATGGCTTTTTGAAAGAGGAATAATAGTGATGCACTTTATTCAACTTTTTTATTATTGATGCTTGAGCAGTACCTCTCAGGAATGTTTTCTTTGAGTTTGCTGCCGTTATTGCATGCTTACTGCATGCAGCTTCAGTTTGGTTAAATTTAAGACTTCTTTTTTATTTTTGGGAGTTTGTCGACCTATGGTGAAAATAAAGTTGGAAGAAGTGCAGTATAGAATATGATTGGTAATTAAATCTTAAATAGATTATACTGACACATATACACCGAAATGCCATATCTTGTTGGTTTTGTAGTAAACGGCATTACAGAGTGTCAGACTGTTAGGATATGTACATGATTCGCGGAGCTTAAAGGATTAATTCTCCAAAAATGGAAAATTCTGGCTTCTTTTACTTATTTTCATGGAATATAAAATGAGAACCTTTTAAAGGGGACATCGGATGCAAAATTCACTTTTACATGGTGTTTGCATATAAATGCGTCTTAGCAGTGTGTGGACACAACCCCCCTACAATGATAAAAATCCATTCATCCTTTCAAAACCTAAACTGTCTCAATTATCAAGACGTTTTGATTTTTTGAGCAGTATGACGCTGACGGACTCCCCTGTATTAGCATATTTCCGTCTTCAGCCAGTTGTACTGTTTTGGCTTGCTATAATCAGAGCTGTTTTTGACAAGGTAAAAATTGTGTTTTTTTACATGACCGTTGAGGAATTTCTAACCAAAGTATTTTGCAGACATTTCATTTCATGAAGATCCTAAAGAATCATACCAACTTGTGGAAAATGGGCATCAGATGTCCCCTTTAATATTGCTGGTCACTATTTTTGATGCAGTTACACTACCAGTCAAAAGTTTTTGAACACTAAGATTTTTAATGTTTTTTAAAGAATTCTCTTCTACTCACCAAGCCTGCATTTATTTGATCCAAAATACAGCAAAAGCAGTGATATTGTGAAATAATGTCAGTTATATTTAAAATAACTGCTTTCTATTTGAATACATTTTAAAATGCAATGTATTCCTGTGATCAAAGCTACATTTTCAGCATCATTACTCCAGTCTTCAGTGTCACATGATCCTTCA